GAAAAAATTGTAGATGTAAAAGTAAGAATCTTTCTTTGGGAGTAGATGTAAAAGTAAGAATCTTTCTTTGGGAGTGAGAAGTTCTAATTTGAATTCTAGAAGCAGTCTTTGTAAAGTGTCAGAATACTGCCTTTCCACAGACTGAATGGCTGAAAAATCTCTCCCAGTCTTAAATTCCTACAGCTTACACAGAGGGATGTGATGAGTTGGAAGGGAGAGAACTCTGTGTTGTGAAGAGAAATACAGTAGAACAAAATGAGTCATTTCTTCAGGACTAGGAAGGGGAGGTAAGATGAGGTCAGAAACGGAATGGTGTTGCAAATTGATCTGAAAGAACTTTAGGAGGATTTATGTGATCTTTCAGAATGCAAATTCTCAGTGTCTAAACCAAGCACAAACATTTCAATGTGAAGAAAGCCAAGTGCATCTGAAGAGTGGCCTGACTGACAAGAATGCAAGTAATATTGTATGGGAAAGGAGGAATCATAGGAACTGTAATTCAATTGGCTTCTTAGCCAGAAAGTGTAATCAGATATGACTAAGCAACATGTTAAAAATGTTTTTCAATCAAATTACTCTCAAAGTATGGAGTTATTTGCATTCTCAGAGAGGCCTGGAGCTAATCAAAGTAGAGGGTGTGCATCTCCATCATTTGACTAATGAGGAGAACAAAAGGTGGGGTGCCTCAGAAATGATTTGAAAACTAATTTGTACATTGGCATCTGATAGTCCTTAATGTAATAAAGTCAGAAGACTTCAGAAATGTGCCCTTCTGGAGAAAGCATTCTCAAGAGAACAGTTCAGTTAGTTCCTGATCACTGCAGTCTGAAGTTATCTTAGGTTGTGCGTATGGGACAAGGACAAAAGTCTGAGGGCAGAGATGGAATTTAAAGTTGCTTTCCAACATTCCATAACTTTGAAAAAACTTTATTAGAATAAAATGTGTTTTCAGTGTTTGTTTCCTGAGTGTTTAAGGGTTTCAAGTTTGACTGAAAATTTTAATAGTGAAAGGATAAAGACTAAGATAATATTATAGCCATAACAGCCATATATAAATTCAGGATCTATTTCTATATTGCAGGTATTGGAGCATATTTCTTGCTTGCAGACAAGGTCAGTTTAAAATTTAGCATCTTGAAGTGGTTTATCAAAAGAAGGACAGGGATAGAACAGTGAACTTGAAAATGTCACAGTGGCTATGATTTTCTAACTTTTAGAAACTTGGACACTATTAATATATACATTCTCATTCTGATGAATCTTATTCACGAAAATATATTTGTCTTTTAGAACAAAATGGCCTAGATATCATCAGCCTTTTATATTTCAGAACATTTACCACTGATTTGTTAGTTACTCCTCACTGTTGTTTTGGCCCTGAGAAATGCATCTGATTCTACCAGTATTCATGTCTCTTCCCACTGATTCTGAAGACTCCAGTTACAGCCTCATTTCTGATTGCACACATATATGGAGATGTAAAAAGTCTCTTACACAATGAAAGAGGAATTAATTTTCCAGTAGTTAAAAAAAAAAATATAATTATTTGCTTAGATTACCTAGTAGATTTTTTCTAAGCTTATATTTTCAAAAATTGAGACCAAAGTACAAGTGTCCCACATTCACCATCAGTTTTAACATACCTAAATAAAGATTTATCTTTCTCTAAGCTCTCAAATAAGATGTCATTCCATATACTGGAATCACTCTCTTTCCTTATTCAAGGAAAGGATTTATTAGTACTTTGTCTAAGGTGATAATGATTTTTTTGTCCTGTTTCATTCACAATATTAAAAGATTTGAAAAAGCGCCTCTCCAAAGTGGTTGGTTGTGACTCCAAAGTATCTTTAGATATTCTGATAAGGGAAAGGAAACTTTCAATCACATACCAATAACCATATATTCTGGATCAAAGATATGAGAAATTTCTAGCAATCTAAATTTTATTGAAATTCAGAAGCTGACACAGGGGAATGTAACTGTCAAATAATTTAAATATCAAGTATGGGGATTAAAGACTGTAAATAAAAGTGTTAATTATCAAGAAATACCAAATTATCAGATATGCCATGTGTCATACACCAGATTGTTCAACAGGATGCTATAGTTGTACAAAACTTTCTTTATTGTGGAGTCTTCTAATTTTATTCTTAAAAAACCTAGTCAGACTATGTGGAGGTAGAAATAGCCTTTCAAAGGGAAAAAAAAAATGTCAGGAAAAAATAAAGGATTTAATTTATTTTTGTGTGGTGCTTTAGTGTTTGACCATAATTTTTTAGGTAGAGAACACTCAGCAGCAGGTAGCAGTGCCAAAAACTGTGAACTTAATCTATTTTTAGACCTGAGCTTGAAATAGCTTGCAAACAGTGAGATTTTCAGGTATGTTCTCTAGCTGGTCCTTCAAGGAATATTTTTGTTTCCATAACATAACAAAGGAAATGTTTTACCACTGCTCATGGAACAGCTTCAGCAACAAGATGACTTTTATTCTGCTAGGTGGAATTATATGGAAAAAAACCCTTGTTCTTTCTTCAAAAAATGTTCAGGTGGTTACCCTTGACTTCATCAATACCCAGCCTCTTTTGCCTGGATTGTGTGATGAGATCTGTGTTGTAGCTGCACTGATCTCAGCCTAACAGAGTCTTGCTTCAGCCAATTGGTATCATGGTAGCTGGGATACCACTGTGAAGCTTTTCCAAACAGGCATAGAATGTTTGATCATGTTCATGTAAGTGCATGAAAACCCACTTCCTTTCTGGAAAAATCCACTTGTGCTTGATTCTCAGTCTTGTAGCCTGTTGCTAACATACTTTGAGATTACATGTGTTGCAATTTTGAGAATGGCTGATGTAATAACTTTTTCATAGCTTGTTGATCTGGATTGTTGTTTATGACACTGTTAATTCATTTCTGGAGTACTGAAGTTTATTCTGCTACTAAGCAATAAGATATTCAAATTCCATGATTGTGTTTTTATGAATGACAATTTGTACAATTTTAGAGCTGTTGAACAAATGTGAGATACCACTGCTAATTGAAATACTTCAAATTAAGGAAATTATTTTCTAGCATGTGATGGAGGCACAGGCTGAGCCTAATGTATTCTCACGTTTATGCTTTTTTAGCTTTTTCTGAGGTGCCTCAGATTAGTGGTAAATGATTAGTTTAAGGGTCTGCTCTCTTTGTGATCTCACCAACAGCTACTGAAAAAGCAATTCCAGGTCACAGCACATTTCATAAATTACACAGGAAACATAAATGCACTTTACTTTCGAGGGATGAACATTTTTCAGAGTGTTACACTTTTATGTTTCATTAAATAGTATAGTACAATATCAGAAAAAAATAATATGGCTTTATAAATGGAAGAATGTTCAGGGTAAAGAAATAAGATCTTTCTTGTATGTTTCCATTACCCATAAAATTGTACTCTGAGTAATTTTTGTTTATGCCACTATTTGGAAAAGATTTATGCAGATTATTAAAGCAGGCAGCTTCTCTGGCCATTTTCTGCTAAAAAAAAAAAAAAGAAAAAAGAAAAAAGATCAAATTATTCTTTTAGTACAAGAAAAACCTAGTGGCATAGAGCTGAGAGAGGTGATTAGGCTGGTGACCAACTGTTCTGGAACTCCTGCTTTCCTCAGCAGAGCACAGGAGTGGAGGAGGAGCCCTCCCATGAGCTCCTCTGCATCTCTCCTTCAGTGGGACAGAGACCCTGCACACAGGTGGGGGCTGGGATGTCTGCTCAGATCTCCCAGAGCCTTGATGGAGAAACATTGGCAGAATCTGGAAGCTGCCCTGCAAAACTCTCTCTCTTAACTATAGATGGTGCATTATCAATTTAAATTCTTTTATTGTGTTTTATGTACAAATTTTCATTTCCTGTCTTGTTATCCATAAAATGAATTCTGTCATGCAGTGCCTTTGCCTCCCCCTTGTTTGTTCTGTTTCTAAGGAGCCTTTCTAATCTCCTGGGTAAAAAGAGTTTTCTCACATCTCTGAAGGGTGAGGCACTGTCTTTTCTAATGCTGAGCTGGGAACTGTGACTCAGTATAAAATGGAGTATGAAGATGTACAAATCATGTTGTAATTTGAAGAAATTAAACATAATTATACAATTAAATTCCATTTTGCCATTTTTTCATGTAAACAGTTACAAACTGCATGAGCAGGTTAGATTTTTTTCATTTAATCATTGAGCTCCTCTATTAGAAAACAACAATGAGATTAAATGCTGCAAGAAAGGGAGTATGTTTCAAATCTTTTATCATCATGTGATGTGCATAGGTTGCCTTAATGAATGGCCAGTATACATTTCTAAGTGTCATCTGAAAGAGTATCCTTAATAGCAATAGGATCTGAAAATTGTATTAAAACTCTGAATTTTCTTATAATTTAATTTAATTTTTTTTCATAATAAAAACTTGGTGAGGATTCATGTTGCCAAAATAAAAAATTAGCTGATCAAGGCAGACAAGTTCCTACAATTGTATTTTCTCTATAAATGAAAGTATTTCTGTTTACCAAAGATGGACCTGTCACCTAGAAATTAATAGACAGTCAGTGGGAAGGAGCTGAGTAAAAAGGAGCAGAAAAAAAAATAATTATAAAACAATTGGATTTTAAAAAATTATCTTAGATCAAAACCCAACCATTTATCCTGTGATACCATCAGTCACCAGGTTGTGATATAAAGGGAATTACAGCTATCTAAAATTAACTTTTGAAGTCTGGAGACTAAGGATCCATTTGTACAAAATCTTAGAGATTTTGTATTACTTTCATGTGTTTACACTGAGGGTTTTCATTTAGCAATCAATTCTCAAGTTACAAGAACTCTTAACCCGGGTTTAATTGGACTTTGTAGCAACCCTCATACCAAAGTCAATGTGTTTATAAGCAGGCACCCAAAATAGAACCATGGAATTATATAATAAATTCAAACAGTTCTATCTGACACTGAAATTAAGTTTTTTCCATTTATTTCCCTCTTGTCTCAGGAGTGGACAAATTGAGAAGTTAGAAGTGGATCCTAGTAAATATTCATTCCCTGATGTGACAAAGATAATCCAAGAACAGGAACGAACTGGACAGGGACCGATAAAGTTCCAACCACAGAAGGTTACAGAGCCTAAGAGCTGTGTTGATTTGGAAAATAATGAAGATGTTCCTCCCTTAATTTGAAACATTCTGAAATATTCCCTCTGTAAGTAGTGTGAATGCTTGTGTTGAATTCATGACCCTATGTGTAAATAAAATAGAGCTGAAGTTGGCAATATCATTACATTTCCTATAAATAACTTTTTTTATGCCAGTGTTTTCTGCTGCATTTTCTCTTAGTATATTACTATATAAATTTTTTTTTCTAGATTGTGTACTTAGTAAGTTAGAATTAGAATAGAGGTTTTATATCAGAGATTGTAATATCTTCAAACAATTTACTGTCTGGGTTGAGAGATGACACATTACTGTAGGAAAAAAGAAAAGGAAGGAAGGAAGAAAGCACTTGTAACAAGATTTGTGATTTTTTTCTCATTAAATTAATGATAGGAAAAATCTCTGTGTATTCCTTCAGTGTTTTCATTCTCATGATGGACAACAGTAGAAGAAAGGGTATGGTTAAGAGTGAGAGGTATTGCTGTAATCTACCATTCATCACTGAATCTCCAGCATAATGCACAGCTCCTGGATTCTGGAGCTCACCTAATGCCATATCTTGAAGGTTTGGGGAGAAAATAAAGAGAAACTTCAAGAAAAAAATAATGAGTGACCTACATTACCTTTCTTCTGCATTTGTTGTTGTTTATAATGGAAAACTTCATTTGGAAGAGAAAATGCTTCAGATTCAAATCACCTTTTGTTTTTAGTCAAGAGCAAGCAAAGTCAGGAAGAATCAAACAATATTTTCTGTTTAAAACTTGTTTTCATCCTTAAGATAGAAGATTAATAAGTTGCAGTTATAACTGTACCACTGTTTAAGTTCAGATAGTGCCCACAGTATCCTCAGCACATAGTCACATTCATAGCAGAGCCTTTGAAAGTGCTGTATCCCTAATTTTGACAAACATCATACAAAAACATCAGCAATGGGAATGAAAATATTCCCATTGAATTCTGGGAATTTTTATCCACTCTAAAGTGCTTTATGGTTCTTCACAGATGCTTAATGTAAGATAAAGATAAATAGTCTATCTTAAAGTGCATTGAAGAGAAGCAGAAAATATCCATCAACTTAGGCTGATAGCTTGAAATGATGCATTTTCTTCTGTTGCAATTTGAAATGGATATAGGGTAAAAAAAATTAAGTTTCATAATAATGCTGGATATACTAAAAGCTGAAAAGAACATTTATATATTTCAAAGCTATAAATAAAAGTTGAATTTGGGCATCATCTGATGGACTGTCACATCATCTTGTATTTTTTGCACTGACTCAATTTTTCCAACTCCAGAATAAATTCTTCAATGATACAAACCTCTGAGCCCTGGAATATATTTAATCAGCCCTGCTCTAGTTAATGGAGTGTAAAAACATCAACTGCTTTTGCAATATGTCCCAATTCACTAGAAATGCCTAACCTTGCCAGCTGACTATGGAAAAGACATATTAAATTTTATCTCTTGATCTCACTGAGTAGTAATATTCCCATAGGGTGAGCATGGATCATTTTCTGGAATGCACAGCAAGGTTCTGGATTCGAGATTGCACAGGTAGCAGGGCTGCAGAATCTGAGGGACAAACAGGTTCCAGCAAGGGCCAAAGGTGACAGCAGTACAGGAGGGGGAGCTGCAGGTTCAGAGAAAGGGTCCCCCCCCCGGCAGCCCCAGAGAGACCCCCGTGGAACAGAGACCCCCTTGCAGCCCAGGGAGAGCCTGGGAGTCGTGAAAGTTGGTGCTGTTTCATGGAACTGTGCAGCCCTAGTAGGAAAACAGGCAACAGATAATGTAATTTATAGCAGTCAGATGGACAATTTATTCCTTTCAATCTTGCTTCCTTTTGTTTCAGAAATATGAATTTTGTTGACCTTAGGATAGGTGAAGAGAAAAGGCTCCACCACTTTTTTGAAGATAAAAATGAGTAAATTTTGGCAGAAGATATAATTTTTTTTTTAATTTTTTTGTTATTTCATTGATTGCTGTAAGGATTTCCTGATGCTTCTAGGAGGTGAACCTTTTACAGGCTTTCCTCTTTTTCTTCATTGCATATTTCTGAAAATATTGTAGGGACAATCAACCTTTCCAGCCTTCAGCCATAATGGATGAATCTATCAAGAATGTCAGATAATTGTGGAAAACAGAAAAGCTACATACCTGGTCAGGTATAGTTATTTTATTTGTTCTTAAAGAGAGAGCTATAAAAATCAATCTCTAATGTCAAACCAAAGCATAACACGTTTGTGTATCTTTCCTCATTCCATCTCAATTCCCTTTTTCATCTGGTTTCATTGTGAATAGATTTTACTCTGTTTTTGGGGGAAAAAATTAAAAAATATATTGAGCTAAAATACACCTCATAGGAAAATTAATAGCAGGTAGCAAAACATGCTTGGAACTATTGAAAAAAGAATTGTTTCATGTGGTAACATAATCTTGGGATCCAGCCTGAAAATGGAGTATATTCTGAGAATCAGTTTCAATAAACCTCTCACTTGTGTATGGGCCATGGAGAACACAAGCACAGGTTGATCACAGAGATGAAGTGCACGAGCACAAGATGACAACACAAGAGCATAAACACACCTTACAAAATTACTGATTACTGTAATGCAATTCTGAGAAAAGAAGACAGAAGAGAACAAAGGATGTACAGCCAACATAGATAAAATATCCCCTGTACAGTAAAATATAAAAGATAACAAAAGGAAAGAAAGATCATCTGGTGGGGGCTCCCCACCAGAGAAAGGAAGACTGAGGAAGGAAACTCCAGCACTGTCTCCCCAGTTAAGGACGTGGCAGCTGATCAAAGCCATTGCACATCTGGAACATGATTCTCCTACTTAGAGGAGACAAAAAAGTGCTGCTTTATGATTTGCCACATGCCTCATTCTGCCACTGCAGACTCAGCAGTTGTACATACAGCATTATCTCTTACTGTGTAATTGGGATAAGGAGATTAAAATTTCAGAAAGCACTGAGCGTGTGTCATGAATTTCACCTCTAACTACATGACTGGATGAATTTTAGTAGTATGCAGTTGATGGATTTACCCATCATCCAGTAGACAGGAGATGGATGGGGTTAGTGACAAATTCTAGCAGTACTAAGAGGAAAGATGTGCAACAGACCAGGAATGCCCTTGGATTTACCACAAAATCTTCCTCTTGTTCTAAAACTGGGATGGGATTTGGAATTTGGATTTACCATCAGAATGAGAATTTTGTTGATGTACAAAAGAGAAAGTGTCCTGTTCCCTTCAGCACTAAATTGATACATCTAAGTCAAAAAAAGCAAAAGGAGAAGGGAATCTATGACAGGGTAAAGATATCCTGTGCTTCCAATGCCAGTTGTAGTGCAGAACAATGTGCAGTAAAATAGCAAACTTGGTTCAAAACTACCAAAAGGTCTTTTAGTCTTAGATAAATTTCTGAATATACTCAGTAAGAGTATATTATATATAGGTAATAGTACTGGCCATGCAAAATAACGCTTTCCCACTGCACATTTCAAATGATAGTTCTCATAATGGGGAACTGGTGAGTAGCAAATACATTTCTTACTGGTTAATGAATATGAAAGAACACCATAGAGAGCCTGAGCATTAGTCTTTTTCTGAACAGTTGCTAAAGGTGAGGTGTTTGCTGTCAGTGCTGGACTGGGTAACTTCATCCAAACTAAATCATAGCATCACAGAATGTTCAAGGTTGGAAGGGGCCTTTGGTGGTCATTTGATCCAGCTTCTCTGTTTAAACTGGAGCCAGTTATCCAGGACCACATATATATGGCTTTAGAATATCTCCAGGGATGGAGAATTCACAGCCTCCCTGGGTGACCTCTGCAGGCACCTGGTCACCCTCACAGTAAAAAATTTTCTGTTTTCTGTTTTCTGATGTTCAAGGGGATCTCCTGTGTTCAGCCTGTGCCCACTGTCTCTCGTCCTATCACTGGGCACTGCCTATTCACAGTTTAATTGCAATTTATTTGTGAATAAATGTATTTCTTCTGTTACAGAGTCATCTGTAGCATGCTGAAGCTTACTGTTCTCATTTGCAGCACCTGAGCAATACTGACAGAACATGTTTTCTCCTTCTATCTTCCACCTCTGATACAGCCAGGCAGAGCTCAAAAAATCTGAAATCTAAGAAAACAGCATATGGATTAACAAGGACAAAAGATATGACATAATTTAGAAAACACATCTTACTCAGAGTGACAGTTCATGTTTTACTTTTTAAAAAAGCAGAAATTATAGAAGATATTATTAGTGGTAGAAGTGCTGCTCTTGGTTGCACAGTTGTGCACTGGAACTATCTAATAATCAGGTGGGATCTCTCTGAGGCAGGTTTTGTACAAATTGTTCCTGCATCAAACATGTCTCAGTCAAAACACTGTGAGAGCCACAGAGTTCATCTGTTCTGGAGGTTGTTTACTGTGTTGGTTTCAGAATCACCATGGATTACCTGAGCTAACTTCAAAACATAGACATTAGAAGGAGCAGGGAAGCAAGGAAATCATGTTAGACAAACTGAGCATGGTTTCTTCTGCCTTGCAAACCCTTCCTACAGACAACAGCAACCACTCTCTTACACAGAGCATAGAAATGTGAGCCACAGATCCATTTAAAGAAACTCTACAGCTCCTCACAGAAAAGCCCTGATGTGGTGGGGATTGGCCAGGGATCAAGAGTCAAAAGCCCATTCCCTTGAGATGGGATAGTACAGAACCTGCTTTATCTAGGTGTTACCATAATAGTTTGCCCTTGGGTGAGTTCAGATCTGAACAAATGGTCAATTTTCCCATATATGGCACTATATTGGGGTGTCTCAACTTACAAGGCACTTTTCTGATATTTGACAACACCTTTTCTAGCATGATGCATAGGAAAATCATAATAAACAGGTCCACACTGGGAGTTATACTTCTGTTAGTGGAAATACAACTCAGCGTAGTACAGTCTAAATGTCTGGGCAAATAAAGATCTCAGAAGTTATAGCATGTATCATATGAACAGAAGCACTTAAAAACTCCACAGCTCAAAACAATAAGCATCTTTCTCAGAAAACTCATAGGAAATATGTGTATAGAAGAGTTGACTGGTGAACATTTGGCTAGAAAGATGTGACCTATGGTTTTGTTTTGACCCTTGTTTTTGTGCTCTCCCTGCTAACCATCTGCAAGTCTACCAGCAGCATAATTATGCCTGTTTGACAGTGTACATAAATTAGTGTTGGCTCCTCTGGTCTTGCAACAAGGCAGGCAGCCATCTGACTTTTTAATTAAGGACTTCACTGAGATTGATAATAAAGTTACAATATGCTTCCATATTTAAATGAAAGTGCATCATCAGTATAAAATTTTCAAAGGGAAAACATCCACGGAGATTCATCAGTCACCTATGAAATATAGCTGAAGTGAAGCATGACATCAGCTACAGAAGGAATCCAAGCTGTCTCCTTTTCCTGCACCAAACTCCATTCTGCAGTGGAAATCCTCTAAGGGAATCAAGTCCAATTTTTTTTTATTCCTTTTTTTTAAAATTTCCATGAACCTAAGACTCTGTAATGTATTTCTGAATATTTAAAGACACTGATATTCTGCACCATTTTCAGAACTTCCTTATGTGTACTTATGCTCAGTATCTAGTTACATCTTCAGCTATTTAAATGCTTAAAAGTGTCACCCTTCCTTATGTCTGTAGTAAAAGCTATATTCATCTCACTAAAATTATTTTTCAACATTCTAAATAAAAATGCATGCCTTTTTAAATTTATGCTTACAGTTTAGCTCAATCTGGGAATTCATGTATGAAGCAAAGTCACTGTCAAACATTCTTAAAAGTTTTCCAAGTGTGCTGTCAGTATAGGTCTAGAGTATACCAGATAAATCAATTAAAACTTTTTCAGTTTCTATCCTAAAAAACTTGAATTTCAGTCTGAACATTCTCAAAGTGGTAGTGAAGTATCAAAGGCTCTTGTGACATGTTAATATGTGCACATAGTTGAGAAGGTGTCATCAGACTACTTGGTGTTAATGTGCTGGGGGGGATTCTGTGGGGCTGAAGGTAATTTCTCACACTTTATCAGCTGTGAGATACATAATTACATGTCTGTGATCTGTAAAGCAAATTCTCCCTCTTTATCAGTGTTTGACACTGGATGCTTAACAACCTGGTTAATCAAAAACAGATTATACTGCTAGAATTAATGAGGCAGTGAAAGGGTTTAATGACCGAGGGAAGCTTTTTAATGCCTGTTTCAAAGGGATTACTCAGTCTAATATTTGCTTATAAGTAGTAGAGAAATGTGTGGCATGGAAGTCACAGTTATCCAGACAAATTAATTTCTCTGGGTCAGCTCCAACCTGCTATCACATCATTGAAAACCTCAAATCTAGTTCATGTTCTTTTGATAGACAAAGAAGCTCTTTTTTCTTTCTACTTGTATAAATTCAGGATTCACTGTAGAAGATTCAAGGACAACTGGCAAAAATGACCATTTAAATCAGCTCAGGACTCAAGTAGGAGAGATTTTATTACTGAATCACTGAATCTGAATCACAGGGTTAAAGAAAATTACTACATGTGGTTAAAGACAGAAAAGTCTGCCTATTAAATGAGCTGTGAAATTAGTTTTAGCAACTGATAGCTCTTGAAATATCAGATCTTGAATTTATTATTGGGATCTTGAATCAGGAAGAAAAATGCACAGTTTGGTCAGACAGACTCTAGGTTCTAGGTTCCCTTTGGCTGTAAAGACTTTATATAGTATTTTTTGACTGGATCTTTACTGAGATTGGGAAAGAGGATCCAAGGTATTGTTCAGTCTGTCTGAGGAAGGAGCACCTGTGTGTTAACATGGATATGAATGTTCTCCCCATTTCTTGTCCTGCACAATGTTCTCACTACTTTTGTACCTCCTTGCCCATTCTGGGGCATGACTCAGTGGGTCTGTTCAGGTGGTTCTAAGAATCTGTTCCCTGACATTGCAAAGAAGGGAACAACAAATGGAGACAAGCAGGAAACCTACTTTAAAACTACCATCCAGTCTTGAACTTAATCAGACTCCACCAGTCCATTTCCATGCCAGTGTTCCACAAGAATATGGTGCTGGTTTTTATCTTGCATGCCAATTTTAGAGTTCTTGGTTAGAGTTCATAGGAGCTCTCACCATTTCCTTTAGCTAAAGGAATTTGAGTAAACAGCTTGATGTACAAACTAACTCTTAAATTCTGCATCAAGCATGGTTTATTGTCAGGATGATTCACTTAAGGAAAAATGCCTTTGCAATAAGAAATTGCCAGCACTCAGATCCGCAGGTGCCTTACTTCAGGACCTCATACATCATATCCTGCAGCTTCCCAGGAAGGTGTGAGCTTTACAGCTTTATCTAGTGTCTACTCACTTCCTGAGGAGCCCTGAAAGCTTCACAACTTCAGCTTAATTGATGCTGAAATAATTGGTGAACTATGTGTCAAAACTGGGAAAAAATATATTCATATGGGTAATCATATGAAGAATTTTGGATAAAATGATATACCTCAGTCACTTGATCCAGCAGTGGCAGAGATGAGAATATAATTCAGAAGCCTATCACTTGAGGGCAGGAGGGACAAATTCACCAGTAAATTTTTTATGCTATTGCCCACAGCAGTAGGGATAAGGAAGACCACATGAAGCCAAGTCAGAAGCCCAGTTAGCCCAAGACATACCTCATTTCAAGCAGGACATTTCTAGTCCAGCAAATACAGTGAGTAACAGTCCCCTGCTACTCTGGAGGGCTGTGAGTGACTGCACCATCCACCTGCTGACCCTTGAAACAGGCAGGTTCTCTTGCACACTCCAACCTAGTCCAGCTCCTTTCCACTCATTCTGGGAGAGGCAAAATTCAATTTTGCATACCCTGCTAGGAAGACTTGACCCTGTTCTGTATAAGAAATTTTGAAAAGAGTGATCCTTCTCTGATACAATCTCAGACA